GTTAAAGTCCCAGAGAGGAAACAAAAGTAACATGAAGAGCTATGACAATGTATACCCCTCAAATTGCTAATTCCATCGTGAGAATGACCTGGAAGAACTCCCTGACAAAGAGTTCGAAATAATGATTATAACTGTGTTCAAACCATTTAAAGAAGATAAGGAAATGCTCCAAGAGAAAAGTATCAAGGATCTGAGTGAGATATCAATGAAAGTTGTGAAAATAGAGTTCAATCAAGAGGTAGAACTTGGGGCTGGAGAGACGGCTCAGTGGTTAAGAGCACTGGTTGCTCTTCCAGAGGTCCTGAGTTCAATTCCCAGCAACCACATGGTGGCTCACAACCATCTGTAATGAGATCTGGTGCCCTCTTCTGGCCTGCAGACAGAACATTGTATACATAATAAATAATTCTAAAAAAAAAAAAAAAAAAAGAATAATAAAAAAAGAGGTAGAACTCCTGAAGAGAACCCAAGTTAAAATGATTCTGGAAATGAAAAAAGTCAATAAACCAAATGAAAACTTCATTTGAAAGACTCACCAATAGAATGATCATGTGGAAAGCCTGTCAACCCTGGATGACAAAGAAGAGGAATTGGTTTATTAATTAAAGTTAATGATAAATGAAAGTAATGAACAGAGTGTGGGTATGATTTGGGACACTGCAGAAAGACCCAACCTTCAAATTGTAAGTATAGAAGAAGGAGAATACCACAACAAAGGCATAGAAATATCTTCAGTAAAAAGTCATACAAGAAAAAATTTCCAAACCTAGAGAAGGAGATGTCCATGTAGACACAAGAGGCCTACAGAACACCAAATAGACAGAACCAGAAAATAAAGCTCCATAACACATTATAGTTTAAACATTACAAATACAAAATCAAGAATGGGGATTAGAAGCTGCAAGAGAGAAAGGTCCAGTTATTTACAAAGGCAAATTCATCTACCTCATTAACAGTAATACTTGATTATTCAATAGAAACTTAAGAAAATATCTATCTATCTATCTATCTATCTATCTATCTATCTATCTATTATTTTATGTGTATGGGTCTTTTTCCTGCATGCATGCTTGTGTACCACATGCATAAGGTGTCCACAGAGGCCAGAAAAGGGCATTGAATCATGTGTAACTGGAGTTACAAATGGTTGCTAGCTGCTGTGTGGTACTAGGAATCAAATCCAAGGTCTTTGCAAGAGCAACAAATGCTCTCAACTACTGAGTCATCTCTCCAGCCCCTCAGTAGAAACTATTAAGGCCAGATGCCTGGAAAGACATATTCCAAATTCTGAAAGATCCCAACTCTAAACCCAGAGTATTATACCCAGAAAAATTATTAAATTCAAGGAGAAATTAAAATTTTCCACAGCAAAAACAGATTAGAGGTGTTTGTGACACTGGCCAGCTCTGCAGAGGATTCTGGAAGTAATGCTTGAGACAGAAGAGAAAGATAAACACACATGAGGGGAAACGGACTAAATCAAGCATGAAGAGGTGTGGGGATGGGGAAGTGCTGGGGTGTGAGGAGGCTTAACCGAAGTGGGGGGTACATGGAGGGCTGCCCTCAAACCTGCAAACCTTCAGCACAAGGAAAAACTTAATTTGAGGGGATAGTAGAACACAGGCAATATGAAAATAGAGGGAGAGAGTTTCTTTTTCCTCTCTCTCTCTCTCTCTCTCTCTCTCTCTCTCTCTCTCTCTCTCTCCCTCTCCCTCCCTCCCTTTCTTCCTCCCCTCCCTTCCTTTCTTTCTTCTTCCTCCTCCTCCTTTTTTTTTTTTTTTGAGACAGGGTTTCTCTATGTGACAGCTCTGGTTGTAGCTAGAGTTTTCCTGCCTGGCCCACAGTCAGGACAAATCTCTCTCACCTGCCAGTCCCACAGCCGCTCAGACCCGACCAAGTAAACACAGAGACTTATATTGGTTACTAACTGTATGGCCGTGGCAGACTTCTTGCTAATTGTTCTTATAGCTTAAATTAATCCATTTCTATTAATCTATACCTTGCCACATGGCTTGTGGCTTACCGGCATCTTCACATGCTGTTTGCCATCGTGGCGGCTGGCAGTGTCTCTCTGACTCAGCCTTCCACTTCCCAGCTTTATTCTCCTCCTTGTCCCGCCTATACTTCCTGCCTGGCCACTGGCCAATCAGTGTTTTATTTATTGACCAATCAGCAACACACTTGACATACAGACCATCCCACAGCATCTGGTGGTTCTGGATCTCACTTTGTAGACCAGGCTGGTCTCGAACTCACAGAACTCCACCTGCCTCTACCTCCTGTGTGCTGGAATTAAAGGTGTGCACCATCATGCCTGGCAGGAGGGGGTTTTCAGTGTTAAAGATTTAAGTGTGGAATGAGGGGCTGGGGGACTGGGGAGCAGAGAGGGTAAAGGTTAGGTTAGCCAAAGCTAGGGATCCATGAAGAAGCCTTATGGGAATTCACTACACTGTAAGCTAGCTAACATTATTTGAACTAAGTATATGCCTGGGTGAACAATGTTGCTCTCAAGAAATGGGTTAGGTTGGGTGTGGTGGCACATGCTTTTAGTCCTAGCACTCAGGAGGCAGAGGCAGGAGGATCTTTGATTTCAAGATGGATCTTGCACGCTACAGTATCATCCTGCCCAGTAAGATGTGCCCACTGCCCACTGGTACAATAGCCGACAGGATGGTTATGGGGGTAACCAAGTGCTTTCTGACTGGGTTTGAGGCCTGTTCCACAGGAAGGAACTTCATGTCTGATACCTGGTCAAAAGCCAATGACCAGCGAGATTGTAGGTCCTGTGCGGGGAATCTAGTCTTGTCATGTTAGACGCTCAAACCACCTTCTACACAGGTATGTGTACACTCACAGGTTTGTGTGGCTCAAACCACCTTCTACACAGGTATGTGTACACTCACAGGTTTGTGTGGTTCTCAGCTGTGGTTGGAGAAGCCCCTTTTTGTGGTGGCTGGTGGTTAATGCAGATTCATAACTGGCCAAACTGCCCCTTACAAACAACATCTACATAAGCCTCCCCTATCCAGGGCTCAGGGAACATGGAGGAGGGGGTGAAAAGCAGGTGAGAGGTAGCAGATGGGAGGCGTGCTATGCGGTGCCGGCTTCTGAACGTGACATGGCCACTGCACACAGCATCTCTCGTCCTTTTCTCGGTCGTCCACCAGGACTAGACGGTGAGACCTGGTTGCTGAAGATCCACTTATTTTGGCTGCAGAGCTTAGAAAAATCCATCTGGACTGGCCAGGAACTCTTTCCTGCTGACTAGCTTTCAGAGTACTGGAGCTGCTATGCCACCTGTTGTGTGTGTGTGTGTGTGTGTGTGTGTGTGTGTGTGTGTGTGTGTGGCATCAGTGGTGTCACCCAGAGCTGGATTGAAACAAGAGCAAGTCAGTCACACTCCCCTTGGTGGGGGAGCTATTAGCTAGCAGTTGGCTGCTCAGGGAGGGGACGCCACTCTCCTTTGGGGACATGACCTCTGGTAGGCTGCCCATGGCCCAGTGGATGCCACCATGCTTATGTGCATGTGGGCATCACTAATTGAACTTTGATTATTAATAATAATAATGGTAATAATAAAAGACTCACATGCATGTGGACATCACTAACTGGAGTTTGAGTAATAATAATAATGATGATAATAATAATAAAAGGGAGACATGGGGAGCACTACAAGAAGTTGGAGGGAAGTAGTGGCAGGCGGATATGATCAAAATACATTGTCCATAGATATGTATGAAAAATTTAAAGAATAAATAGGGGCTGGACAGATGGCTCAATGGTTAAGAGCACCCTCACACAGACATACATGCAGGCAAAACATCAGTGCACTAAATAAAAAAGATTAAAAAAGAATAAATAAAAGCATTTTAAAAATAAAGTGAAAGGTGATTGAAGAAGACACACAGCGTTGACCTCTGACCCACACATACAAACACATACACGAACATGTACACACATAAAACACACACAGACATGCTCACTTCAGCAGCACATATACTAAAAGTGGAACAATACAGAGAAGATTAACATGGCCTCTGAGCAAAGATGACATGCAAATTCTTAAGGTGTGCCATAAAAACCCACACACTATAAATAAATGAATAAATAAGTATGTAAATGTGGGACACTTGCCACAGACAGGGAATAGTGATCTCTTTGATTTCCTGCTGATTCTTCATCCTTTCTCATCTTCTCTCCGCCCCCCCCTCCCCCGCGCCCCTCTCCCCCAGCACCTTCATACGGCGGCCTCTGGGCTCTGAGCATTCCTGGGGCTGCCATGTGAATCTGGTTGACTCGCATGCCGCCCCATGCCCATTCCGCCCCATGCCCGCCCACTGCGGCCTTAGCTTTGGGCCTGAACTTACCACCTCCACGAGCTGTTCCCGATCCTGTATCATCTCTTTCTCTTTTCCTCTGGACCTTGTCAGTTTAGTTACTGGTCACAGGCACTTACCCGGGTTCACATTTTGGCTGTGATCTCCTTACCATGTGACCTGATCGCCCCATGCCTCCGTCTCCTCATCTGAGAGCTGGGGCTTTTACTGGGAGCGCTGGGATGCGGCAGCAGCCTCTTGGGAGGGGCCAGAGAAGCATCTGGCTTTGTTACCAGATTCTGCCTTGGTGGGATTTGGGGAGAACACTGGTGAGTGCACGTGTTCAACCTTCAAGTTTGAGTGCAAGACTCAAAAATGTCTGCATTTGCCAGAGCCTGTTTGTGTCTGGAGAGGGTCTCCCTGTGTAGCCCAGGCTGCCCTCAGACGCGGGATCCTTCCGCCTCAGCTTCCCATAGGCTTGTACGGCCCCTCCCGGCAGGACTGACTTGGATAAGACTTCAATCTTACTCAACGGCCAAGGAATATTATGGATAAAAGAATAAGTACTTTTTACCAGTCAACAAGCTGCTCTTGGAAGCATTCGTGCTGACCAGAACTTGGCATGGAAACCAAAGCCTCTTGGTGCAATCAGTGCTGCGAAAATTTGATTAGGTGAAATTAATACAATTGATAGTCATAACGGCAGTAGAAGCCATGAGGTCACCCTTTGCTCTGGGTGAGCACTGTGTGAATTCAGTTTCATTGTAGAAAATTGATGTGGCAAGGATTTTATTTGCCGTTTACAATCACGATCAAGAGGAACGGCCTCGTGGTTCAGCAGCATTGATGGATGCCCCCTTTGGATTGTTTGGACTCTGGACACGGGAAAGAGGCCTTCTGGGAATCAGCCGGTGTTATCGCATTTCAGGAGCAGGAACAAGGGGAGAGGCAGAATTTCACGGAGACCTCTTCGGTCACATCCTCTGGTCACATCTGGCTGTGGTGGAGGAGGGCTATAGGCTATGTGTTCCCTTCCCAGTACTAGGAATGGGCTTCAGGTGCTTGCACACACAGGTGAGTCCTAGGAGGAGAGGCCATGCCCCTGAGAGGAGACAGAAGTCGGGTAAAACTGCCGCAGTGGGGCAAACCGGCTTGATTGAGTCTGGCTGGGTGGGGCTGGCGAGATGCAGTGATGCAGAGAGGCCACGAGAGGGCGCCCAAGCACCGTCATTCGGCCACTGAAGGCTGAGCAGCCGCTGCAGGGCCTGAGGCTGACCTGCCTGCCAGTGTTGACAGGACCCTGACAAGACTCGGATGACCCCAAAGTTGAGCACGCCTCGGCCTGCCGGGGTCTGGGCCAATCTCTTGATCAAATCCTGATCTTCATCTAAGCTGGTGCTGTGGAGTTGCCTGCTCCCTGCCGGCATGCAATGAAGACATTTTAGGCAGAAGAGACCTCACTGGGAATAGTCTAAGGACATTGTCCGGGCAGAGGCCCAGTAGCTGCTGCAGGAGATGCAAGAAGCCAAGGGAGCAGCCTCCTGTTGGAGGAAGGGCATGATGGCAACCACAAGAGGACGTGGGACTCGTACCTGCAATCCAGAGGACTCACGTGATTAGCGGAAGAGAGTGGGGCTATGTGGGGACTTAGGCTAAAATATATGTCTTGTTGGAAGCAAGTTAGGATCAATAAATTCCATAAATGAGTTGGATGGCTCCCAGAGCAATCACCATAAAATGACAAAGCATAATGTTCGAAACCAGCAGAAGCCGGGCGGTGGTCGTGCACGCCTTTAATCCCAGCACTCAGGAGGCAGAAGCAGGTGGATCTCAGTGAGTTCAAGGCCAGCTTGGTCTTCAGAGCGAGATCCGGGACAGCCAGGACAGCACAGAGAAACCCTGTCTCAAAAAACCAAATATCTATCTATCTATCTATCTATCTATCTATCTATCTATCTATCTATCTATCTATCTATCGGGAGGCAGGATGAACACAGGAAGGAAATAGAAAATGCCATGAACAAGAAAATTCCACAATGAGACTAAGACACAAGACCCTGGTAACGACAGCAAAAGTGACGACTTAAACTGACCACTCAGAAGAGGTTCATGTGTTGAAGAACCATCCTACACCAGTGTGACTTTACAGTTAAAACCTACAGCTAAAAACACAGGGCCTTGGGGGTAAAGTGCTTGCCTAACGAGTGTGGAGACCCCAGTTCAAATCCTCAGAGCCTGCACAGAGCTGGGTGTGGTAACCTGTGTCTGTAACCCCAATGCTCCTAAGGTAATGACAGGATCCCCGGAAACGTGCACCCCGACTATCCTGGTGTGCGCCGTTGTGAAGGCGGAGGTGAGGACTGACACCTGAGGGTGTCCTTTGACCTCCACGTGTGCCGGTGTCATGTGTGTGTCCGCCTCTGAGGCTTTTGGAGGTACGGAAGGACCTTGACCCACTTTCCCTGCACTCCAGATGCCTCCTGGTCCGGTAGCGCACACAGTGATGTAACGGACACTAGGGGGCGTCTAAGCTCCACGCTCCGGGGACCCGGCAGGTGCACAGGCTGCTGAGGCCCCACAAGTTCACCTGCCGGTGTGACCCGATGGCCCTGACAAGCCCTACAGCTGTGCCTGGCCACAGTGGTACCCTGGTTGGCAAGAGGTCTCTCACCAGCCCTTAGAAACCCAACAAGTCCTGGAGATACAATGCAGGTAGGAGGGGTGTCCCCTCATTCTGTGACACCCCATTAACACCCTCTCACCTCAGTCATAAACCATTTTTGCTCTTGGTGTGGCCATGTGTCCGTCCACATGGGAAATGGGAGCTCAGCCTTCCCAGGGGCCTGGCTCTGGCCTTGGGATCCATTGCCAGTAACTGGGCACTTACCCCGCACAGAGCCTCGGGACTACCACAGGGGTACATGAGCCTCACCTCAGGGTGCCCTCCACTACCTTTGGTATAAACCTGCAGCCCTGACATGACCACCAAGTACAGGGCACACACCCCTTGGCTTCTTGGATAGATGGGACACACACCACACGCACAGCCAGGGGATGACCATGAGGGGAGCCTGAGTTTCGGGCTGGCTTCCCCAAACTGCAGTTTAAGTCTGCGACCCCAACTTGATCACCAAGAGGGCTTGTGCCCTCTCCTACCTCAAGTAGACCGGGCCGTCCCTTTTCATCCGCTGCGACAAGAGCGACTGTGAGCAGCAGGTGTAGTGCTCCAGTGGCCACACGGTGGCAGCAGAGCTCCGCTCCCGTGGACACCAAACAGGTGCTTGGTTGGTCCTGGGAGGTCGCGGCCTGACCATGGTGGGGCCTGTGGGGCCCAACACGTGCTCTTCTTCTACCCTAAAGTAGGATCGGTTCTCACCTAATACAGACTTGACTCTAAACATCCCAGAATCGCCACACCTTGGCTCTAGATTCAGTGGTGACCTTCTCTCAGACTGACCAGGATTCAGGGAATCCTGGCCGATAGTGAGACTGTAGAATCACCGTACAAACTCTGGAACCCTTCACCCTGTTTCTACCAGTGTTCGCCTCTATCCCTGCCTCAATCATTTATGGTAATGTGAACAGTTGTGTGGGGGCTTCCGTGGGGAGGATGAGAGACACAGGTGTGTAAGTGCATGCAAGCGTGCGTGCGCGTACACAGACACACACACAGACACACACAGACACAGACACAGACACAGACACACACACACACACACACACACACACACACACACACACACACACACGTGTACTTTCTCTGAGCCTGTGTCCGTCACCTGAGTGTCCACCTGGCTGGGTGGAGCCCATTCTTTGAGCTTGGCTTGGCAGAGCATGCAGTGGTGCATCTAGCCACCAGGGGGCACACGAGCTGCGCACTGTGCTCCTTGTGGAGCCTCAGCAGGTGTACCGGGTGTGAGTTGACCTGCCAGTGTGACCTGACGCAGCAGACCCAGGGCAGGGACTGACCGTGCTCTCTCAGTGCGAGATACTGGGTTTCCCATCAGACCCCAGAAACTCAACGGCCCGCAAGAAAGTCCAGGTGGGGTTGGCTGGAGACCCGGGTCCTCAGTGTTCCTTAACTCTGTCAAAATCTCGTGTCAGGCACCCTCTTTGTGCCTGGTGCGGCCACGTGCCCGCGTGGAGTGTGGAGTCTAGCCTGCTAAGGAGCCTGGCTTGGGCCTTGGAACCTGCTGACAGTAACCGTGCACATGATCGCGGACAGAGCCTGGCTGGGCATTACCGCCGTGAGAGGGACACGAACCTCTGGGTGTGTAAGCCTGCATCCCTACCTCGACCACCAAGTACAGGGCATGCGCATTTCCTCTACCCTTAGATAGATGGGACACGTGTTCCTTCCCACCATAACAGGGCATGCGCCCTCTCCCACACCAGGGAAAGGAACTACTGACCCCACCTGCCTTGAGACAGCAGCCCTTCCCCGACCTGCCTTAACAAGAGCTTCCCGAGGGCGGTGAGTGCCATTCTGCCAGTGGCCACACGGTGTCAGTAGAGCCTCGCTCGTGCAGGCCCCGGTCTCCCGCAGGTTCGAAGCCGCAGGGCTGTGCGGGAGCGGCGTGACCGCAGAAGACACCAGCTCAGCCCAGGGTCCTTCCTTCCTTCCTTGGCCCAGACTCAACTCTAAACGCCCCAGAACGTCCAGACTTTGGCTCCAGACTCAGTGGTGACCCTCTCCCGGACTGACATCCGTGACCCACCACCGCTTGTGAACAATTGTGCAGGGCCTCAGTGGGGGAGGATTAGAGACACGGATGTGTAAACATGCACACACACACACACACACACACACACACACACACACACACACACGTCATGTGCACTCTCTGAGTATGTTTTTGTCACCTCTACCTGAGAGTCCTCCCGGCTGGGTGGGTGGGGCCAATTCTTTTTTTTAATTGAAAATATGTTTTTTATACAATACATTCTGATCGGGATTCCCCTCCACATCTCTTCCCAGATACTACCTGCCTGTCCACCCATCCAACTTTCTCTCTTTAGAAAAAAACAGGTAAACAGACAAAAAATAAATGAACCAGAATAAAACAAAACAGAAAAAAGCACCAGAAACACACACACACACACACACACACACACACACACACACACACACACACCATAAAATTAAAATAAAAAATTGGAAATCATAATATACAAACAAAAGACCAGTGTATTAAAAAAAGCCCAAACAAAATCATTATGAGACAAACAAACAAACAAAAAACCCAACAACAACAACACCCTCCAGAAATACCAGTGAGCTTGTTTTGTGCTGGCCGTCTACTGCTGGGCCCGGGGGCCGCCATCAAGTGTGGTTGGTATACCCAGTGAGACTCCATTGGAGGAAACTAATTCTCCCTTTGTGAGCAGCTGTCAAATGAAGAGAGCTTCTGGATTAGGGACGGGGACTTGTGTCCACTTCCCCTCAGTGATGAGAGCCCATCTGGCTTGAACCTGTGCAGGCCCTGTGCATGCTGCCACGGTCTCTCCGAGTTCATATGTGTGCCAGGCATGTTGTGTCCGGAAGGCCTGGTTTCCTTTGCATCCTCCGTCCCTCCTGCCTCCTCTTGTGCATAGCTCCCTGAGCCCTGAGGCGAGGGGTTTGATGAAGACATCCCACGTAAGACTGAGCGTCCCAAGATCCTCACCCTCAACACACTGTCCAGTTGCAGGTTTCTGTCTTAGTTCTCATCTCCTGCTTGACGAAGCTTCTCTGGTGATGGCTGAGCAAGACGCTGGCCTACGAGTATAGCAAAATATTGTTAGGCGTCATTTTATCACTGTGTTTATTTAGCAGAACAGTAGCATTTGGTTTTCTCCTAGGTCCACGGCCTGTGCAGTCTCAGGTGTTTGGCCACCTGAGCAGTGTTAGACATGGGTCCCATCTCACGGAGGGGATGATGGCTGGTCACTCCCACGACTTCTGTGCCTCTCTTGCACCAGTGTGTCTTGCAGATAGGTCACAACGGTAGATGGAAGGGTTTGCAGCCGGGTTGGTGTTTACTCTTCTTCTGTGGTGCCTTGCAGAGTACCTTCCGGTCCCATGAGCTAGTCAGTAGGCACAGGCACAACTTCCCATGTTCAGTGAGATGGATAGGTGTTATTTTCAGCAGCAAGGCCTGACTATAGTTTGTGGAGAGCAACCAATAGCCTTGGAAGTTACCCGACCTGTTTGGGGTTTTCCATGGGACTCTTTTGGCCAATAGCTCAATTAGACAAAACCCTTTCCTGGTACTTGAAGTTTTGCTTGGTGGTGCGAAGTGGCGTGCTAGGCTTTGTATCTCCCGTTATTTGGTGATTCCATTCAGATTTCTTTCATACACACACACACACACACACACACACACACACACACACACACACCTTCAAATGAGGGGGTGGTGCCAAGTTTTGAATCTGGCTTGGAGAGCATGCCATGGTGCATTTGTCCACCAGGGGGCACCTGAGCTCTGCACTGTGGTCATAGTGGAGCTTCAGCAGGTGTACCAGGTGCTTAGGCAATTGTGCTAATGTGAACTGACCCCACAAGGCACTGGCCAGCCCCAGGACTGGCCCTAACCATGTTTCCTCAGTGCCAGACACCAGATTGCAAAGTATCACCAGGCCCTAGGAACCCAACAGGTCTTAGAGACAGGTACAGGTGGGGGTGGCTGGAGCTGCTGGCCCTGGGTGTCTCCTAATTCTGTTGACATTTTTCCTCAGTCATAAATCCTCCCCCCCTCTTGCCTGGTATGTCCCCATGCATCTGTGTGGAATGTGGGAATCTAGAGGGCCCGGGAGCCTGCCTTGGGGCTTTTATACTGTGGCCAGTGCATTGTGCACACGGCCATGCACAGTCTTGGGGGAAACCGTGAAGAGGACATGAGCCTTGGACTCTCTCCCAAACTGTGGTACAAGTCTGAACTCACAACTTGATCACCCAAACCCGGGCATGTATCCCTATTTACCTCAGCTCAGTGGTTTTCAGCCTCCCTAATGCCACAACCCTTTACTACAGTCCCTCATGTTGTGGTGACCCCAACCATAAAATTATTTTTGTTGCTACTTTGTAACTGTAATTTTGATACTGTTTTGAATCATGATGTAAATATTTGATATGCAGGGTATCTGGTATGTGACCCTCGCGAAAGGGTTATTTGACCCCCAAAGGGGTCATGACCCACAGGTTGAGAATCACCGCTTTAGCTGGCCTGCCCCGCCCCACCTGCCCTGACAAGAGCCTCCTGTGTGCTGCAGAGAGAATGTCACCAACGGCCACATGGTGGCAGCAGAGATTGGCTCCTGAGGGCATCATCGTGCTACAAGCTGGGAGCTGATGGGCTGGGAGGCCACAGTCTGACCTCAGTGGGCAGGTGGAGCCTAGCCCAGGCTCAGCATCATGTGAGGACGGTGTGAACTCAGACCCTGTCTCCAGACTTAGTGGTGACTTACTTCCAAGCTGACTACAGCTTGGCTAATTACAAAGACCTTATGGGCATGGGACTGTAAAACCAAAAACCTGGGCTTGCCTGTCAATACTATTTCCACCAGTGTGTACATTTATCATGTCATACCATCATGGGTGATACATGAGCAGTTAACCGGGGCCTCAGTGGTCACGACTAGGGACACTGGTGTGTAAACATGAACACACACACATGGCATTTGCATGTGCACTCTTCTCTCTGTGCCTGTTTTAGGTCACCTGTACTCAA